CGGGAACAAGTTAGCGCCACATACTTTCCGATGGTTTCTAAAGCGAGCGACGTTTTATAGCTCCTAATGTATCGGTATTTCGCGCTTCACAAATTCCTCCAAATCCGTCGCCAGACTTCGAAAGTAGCAAGTTTGCTTGCATGTGTTGGTTGCTTGCATCGCCTGCCTCAGCAACTGTGGACAGGTGCATCACAAGCAACAATACAGATTGTCTGTTTAACAACCCTTTCCTCCTTGTGCAAAACTCATCTTGAGTGAAGGTCTCCATAGAGCATTCATCGTTGGAAGCTCCAAAATGTCTTCACCTTCAAACCGAGGTTGTTCTACCCAACAAATACCTGCCTTATTAGTGTGTAGCAGATGCCTGATACCGACCCGGCTGCCTTTATGTATGGCGCTTTGAAGAGCAACTTACTAACCGCGAAAACAATAATCACCCCGCCAATCGGTCAATAAAAAGAGATGCTCCAGCTCGCACGGTTGATTTAAGCAGCGGAGCTTTAAGCGCACTGAGGAAGGCAATTTTATCGGGGGGTGCTGACATAGAAAGTCGCATCAGTCTACTCGGGCTGCTATTAAAAACTAGCCCTGAACAGCATTTTACGCACGGCTTTAACGCTACTGATTCGAGGACGCGTATTGACGCCAGCACGTGTACGCCGTTTTGTGTGTTACTCCTACCCTTTTTATTTACTCCCACGACTGGAATTTGTCAAGGACAAGGTCGATTCAGGAAACCAATAATGAACCTGTCCTTGAAGCAAGTTGCTAAACTATTCTACAAGCTCTTCAGATTCCACTGCTTCAAATCACTTACGCTGGATGCAGGCCATCCCAAATTAAGCTCATTCCACGGATTAAACCCTAGGGCTGTTCAGTCGCTGAGGTAATCCTCGTAATCCTCTTGGTAGCCCCCTGCATCTCTGTCTTGCTTTCGCCAGTCATTCCAGCGCTCCAGCAGGAACTGTGGATGAGTTGTCTTTTTGCATAACAGCTCTCGCTTCAGGCTCACTGTTTCCTGTGGCTCCGGTCGGACTCTCGTCTTCAACAATTCAATTGCAGCAGTTAATCTTTTCGCAAATCCTATATAAAAGTTGCTGCGCGAGGAAGGAAATGGACGATCTGCCAAATCCAGCTCTGATGGGAGCACGCTTGTGAGCTTTTCCCACCACGAAGAAGCTTCCATAGCCGGTTCCAAAAGTTGAATTGCGCAGACAACCGCATCCAAAAAGAGGTATCGTCGCCCCAACACATACACAACATCACTCGGGGTTAGACCGTCTTCCTGTTTCCGGTGCTGATAAAACAAATGC